TTACCCCATTTTCGGGGAAAGTGCAGAGTAGTTGACATTTTAAACAATTTCCTATCAAAATCAAAATGTACAAGGAAAATTAAGGTCCTAGTTAATATTAATTAAATAGTAGTAATTGTGCAAAGCGTTCGATATCGACAGCGTTAAGTATTTACATAGCAGACTGAAAATACTTACGTTTAAATACCAACTTTACAAAAATCAGTCTGCACTTACCCCACTTCACCTTACTTTTCAAATTTATATAACTTAACTTTTTTTAAAAAATGGTCCTACTATATAATCTAGAAGGTTTACAAAATATCTCCAGGCATCTCCCTATTAAATGACAGAGCAAGTTACTATTGTTCATATGGAAGATTTCCTTTAATCGGTCAACTACTGTTGCCGTTACATTTGCATTTCTCATTTTGTCATCACTTTTTGTTTCACTCTCATGTTCACCGATCACAGTGTGATACACCGTGACCTTCTTACCTCAAGCATCAAATTAAAAATAAAACACACATAGTTTAATGGAGAAAATGTGGAACAATATTTTTTTAATTCTGAGAAAATGATCTGAAATTCAAAACTGGGAATTAGGGTTGTTTAATATTTCCAACACTTTCATCCTGTTTATTAAAACCGAATTATTTACTTCTATGATACAGTTTCATAAGACGTTATATGTGATTAAGTGCCATTAAGTGTTATTAAACGTCCATAAATACAGGGTTAATCATCTCACTATATTTCCTTGCAAAATGTTCTATTGATTAGTTATTTGTGAAGTATGTTACGTCCTATTTCCATGTAAAATTCACCTAAAACTAGTTAACGCGATTTTACATCCGTGTTCTTTTAATCGTTTGCTTATCATCCACCCTATACTTACTTGATGTAGACTTTCTCGCTGGAGGAAATTTTATTATGTTGTTCCATATAAAATAATACATTTCGAGACCTAGAAAGCTTGATATCGTTTAATGGTTAGGTTAGAAGTACCGCTAAATAGCATTTACGATACATCAATCTGAGTCTTAATGTTTGATAAGAATGGGTACACTAATATTTGATCAATATTCATCCATACTATTGAAGTGAGTAATTTCGCTTGGGAGGCTTTTGTAACAGTATTTGGTGAAAGTTTGTCTATACGTATATCTATTATTTCTTAAAAATTTGTTTGTAACTATATGTTACATATATCTGTTAGATACAAAATATCAAACAAAGTATAAGAATTTATAAAATTCAAAACAGAACATATTACAAAATAAAGGAAAAATACAATGTCCATTATATTTCAAAGGTGTTGCAAACAACGGTACGTCATTGTTCAGCACTAAAAAGGTTAACATCTATTTTTACTATAATAAATTATACTGACTAATAAAATTTGTTAGACAATATTATGAACCTAATTCATGACAAAGGTAGAAACCTTCTAATCCATAGATTAAAAATGAAAAATTGCTGGAAATAAGAGCTAACACATCTATCAAACACAATATTGGCACACCTACTAATTATTAATTTTAAAGTAACAAAATTACTTTATTTAAATTAAAATTATTACATAGTTACAAAATGATGAAAATTGATAGGCGTTAGCTTTCCATTATTTCAATTTTCGTTCGACGATACGGAACTACAGCATGTAAATTACTGGCAATTAGATAAAACAACCGCGATGCAGTTTGCGCATTCGAAGAGACAAAGAGCACAATTAGGACAGCGGTGCACGCGATCGAATTTCCTAACGTAATGAGTGAAAGTGATCGACCTTAGGAGTTCTAAGCCAGCCTGACAGTTAATTGCAGCTCGATTTCTGTGGCACGGTACGTGCTCTTAAATGGTAGAAGCAGACCTTGGACCGCGATTGGAAAAACTTCAAATACATACGGATCGATCGCCAGGTGACCCTGTTCGAATTCTATCGTACGTGCTTCGACAACGGTTGATCATTGTTTCTTGTAACCATTGCCAATTAACTGAGCACTTGGTAGCAAGAAAACAATGAAATTGATTTCATTTGCATTAGTAATACTTGTTTCTGTTGTACCAATTCACGAACACTGTTATTTATGATCTGATCGGTCTGTAAACAAATTTGATTAATGTGTTGATGCGAAAAGTTGCATTGATGAAAAGGAGTAATATTTTGTTTCAAACTTTATTTTTTAGTTATCTTTGTTAATTATGAGGTCTTGTAGGTATTTTAAAAAGATCATTATGGAGAATGTAGAGTTTTGATATTTTGCTCTTGACCTTTTAACCTAACCTTAATTTAATTTCACGGAGTCTAACCTTTATTTTCAGCTATTCGTCAAATGTTGTTTCTAGCCAAGACTCCTAACCTTATTTGCTTTCAATTGTTTGTCAAATTAGATCTTGTACAATTTCCTTGTAATCTAAACTAACCTAACTTCAGGTATTTTAATTTGCTTTCAAGTTGGCAGACTGCCAAACTACTTGGCAGTTGTTATTTCAAATTATTTCTTGCACGATTTTCTTGCAATCTAACCTAAATTGACTTCACCTATTCTGGTCTGCTTTCAAGTATTTGTTAATTGTTATTTCAAATTAAATTTTATACAACTTTCTTGTAATCTGAACTAACTAACCTTATCTTACCGAACGTAACCTACTCCCAATTATTATTTCAACTCCTACCTAATACGAGGTTTTTGTTATTCAAGAATAAACTTTTAACAAAAATATAAGAAAACCTCTATCTATAGTATTAAAAGATATAATTAAAAATAGTAATTTGTCATACAGTTCATGCAGAGTTTTGAGAGTTGTTTGTCTGTTCCTGCATTTTATCTCAAGCTTTATTTTCATTGATTTTTAGAGTTTAGAGTAAAAAAATTTGGTAATTACTAATTAAAATAATTAATTAAAATATTTGATATGTATTTCAGTGTAGATTTTACTGTTTCATTCCTAGAAAAACTTTTTAAAAAAAATTTAAATGCTTTGTTCCCAGAAAATTAATTTTAGAAAAATGTATAAGGAATCACAATAATACTATTCTTTTATTTACGTATACTTTTGAAGATTTAGAATCTAAGTATTTAAACACGAAATTTGTACAGCTAATTTATGCTAATAATTTTGTTTTTACTGTTCGCTTTTCTATTTTACACGGCTAAATTGAAAATATAAAAATGTTTAAATGAAAATATAAAAATTGAAGGATGTTTATCGCATTATTTTAAAACGTGTTGGAAATGTTTTTGCCAAAGAAATAATCTCATTTTTCTTATTTGAGTCTCGAGTTAATATAGTTTGCCACACCTTACAAAAAAAAAGAAGTGATAGATGATGCATGAATTACTAATTGAATACCAGTAGCGAACTTATTAAGGTCATTGGAAAAATAATAACTAAAAACTTAATTGATCATAACTCAAACCGATTAAGAAATTAGTAAAGCAGCTATTTTAATATTATCTTGCTCATAAATAGCAATGCAACCATCTTGTATGTTGTCATATGTACTTTCTACACTTAATCTATGGGTGTCCTGTTTTTGATGCTATTTCCTGTGTAATTGTAATAAGTGGCAATTATTTCGAGGAAATAGATACTTTGGAAGAAATTCCAAACTTGTTAAACTCTGAAATTCCAACATTTTCAAGCTTTGAATATTCAATATTCCAAGTATTTTCATTTCCAAACCCTCAAAGTTCTAAAGTTCCAAAATTAACAAACTTCATAATATTGATGCTCAATCATTTAGATTGAAAAATTGGAAGATTGAAAAATTGAAAAATTGAGAAATTGAGAAATTGAGAAATTGAGAAATTGAGAAATTGAGAAATTGAGAAATTGAGAAATTGAGAAATTGAAAAATTGAAAAATTGAAAAATTGAAAAATTTTAAAGTAAAAAAATTGAAAGATTGAGAAATTGAAAAATTGAGAAATTGAGAAATTGAGAAATTGAGAAATTGAGAAATTGAAAAATTGAAAAATTGAAAAATTTTAAAGTTGAAAAATTGAAAGATTGAGAAATTGAGAAATTGAGAAATTGAGAAATTGAGAAATTGAGAAATTGAGAAATTGAAATGTATCAAATTCGCAAATTGAGAAATTAAAAAATCGAAAAATGGAAGAACTGAAAAATTGAGAAATTCTAATAAATCTTTCACAATAAGAAATATACAAGAAGGTCCCGAATTTAATTGCAAAATTAATATTATAACAAATATCTATCTATCTACATAAATACCTACATTTCGAATATTACAAGGAATTTCTTGTTTGTTTCAGATTCACGAACACATGACAAGGGAAGAGATGTTATCGGTGTTTCACACGGGACACGAATCTGGTAATCACAGTGAAAAATTAACAGTCTAGCTTTTAATTTAAACTCCGATTCTCATTCACTGCACACATCTGGCCTTGCGTGATACTTTTGCAACGATGAAGCTCGCTAAATTAAATTTCCTCGTCGCTGCATGTTTCGTTCAATATTAACGTAAATTCTGCAATCCTCCGTTTGCTTTCACATTGATTGTTTAACTTCTATTATGCTTCAAGGATACAACGAATTTTTTTAGCAACTGCATGATTTTATATTAACTTCTTGCATTCTCTGAATATTAATTTTAATCCTCTTTCTGTGTTATTTCTTCAAATTTGCAAAGTGAGATAATCTTTTTTTGAATCAACTTTGTAACAGAAAAAGTAGTTTTAATTGACTAATTTTTTAAAATACATTTTCTATTGAAAATTATTTTATCAAAAATTTATACGATACTAGAAAATTTATAACGCTTTGAGAAAGTATAATATAACATTCTAATTACGAAATAGAAGAAATGTTTTCACTTAACTAAAATTATTTCAAATACTAATTCTTAAATTAATTTTTAAATTAGTTATGAAATTTGAGGTTAAGAGTAAAATTGACAAATTGTCAAATTATTCATTAACTAAAAAAGTGTTCATTATTATTATTTACAAAACATTCAGTAAAATTTAACTTGCTCTTTATTTTTTTTCTCTTTATATTTACAAAATTTTTAACTCACCCCTAAACTGTTAAGCAATACTTCTCACGTTCAAACATATGGTTAAAATACATTTTGCATAAAGAGTGACTTTAAATGTAAAAATGAGACTGAAAAATTTTACTATAAAAATTTTGTGTCTGAAATAAAATTTGTGGTGTCAAACCTTGGTTACATTTTGCGATGCCAAAGGTTTCGAGTTTTCTTAACTATCTGAGATCCTGGATAATGAATTTTAATCCGAAGTCACGAGGAACCGAAATTCCATTGAACGACGCAGCAGTTATCATCATTACAATATACATATATGTGAGGGGTCAGTAATATTGAACCTACATTAGTAGCAACGTGTCTTGTAACTCGTGTTGATTGTCGGATCCAAAAGCTCGACTTGCTAATTAACATTTATCGGTCATGTGTCATCTCTTACGTGACACTGCAATTTTACCGTGTAAAGGTTCGTTCATATTTACACATTGACCATATCAGGAACAAGTTTTCGATAAAATTCTAGATTTTTACTTAAGAAAAACAATTCGCATTTATACACACTGGACATATCAGATAAAAAAATTGTCAGATGCAAAATTGTTAATAGCATTCTATTAAAAAAATCTATAAATTCTAAAAACAAATTTATATTAACAAAAATTAATTTATTCATAGGTAGTTGTATCATGGATATCTTGAGGCTAACCTAATTTATTTAAAATAGAATTCTATATTATTTTCTCTGTAAAATAATAAACAAATTCCATCTGTTTTCTCTCTAAAACAAATCCAATTTGTCGATAACCAAAAATCACCCAAATTCTTTTGCAAAATATATATTCACACATTATCAAATGAATGTGGATTTAACAAGATAGACATGTTCACAACGTTCTGGACATCCCTCATATTTTCCACAAGCATCAACTTTTAAATCAGAAAGATTCAAATCAAGGATTCCCACCTCTCTAATCATTAATTTATCAAGCTTAATCATCCTACCTTGCTCCATTGAATTATTTCTTGTGCGAACCCGTTAAAAACGTCGTTTATCGGTTGATGCCAACAACCAGCAATGTCATAAAGCTATGAATTATCGCACTAACTTGCGTCATCGCGGTAGAAATAATTATTAAGACTGTGGACAGGTTTGCGACTGAGATTAATCTTTGTGGGCGATTAAAAGATCCGAGTTTTTAATATTTGTTGTACTATGGCAGTAATAAAAGTGTCGCCTTCCTAAATTATGACGTTTAAACATTTTTTGCCTGTTTGACCTTGCGTAACCTTGAATTCTTTTGTTATTGGTCGTTGAACTTGTATTTATGCTATACCTATAAGATGTATATCTGTATGTATGGACGTGTATGTATAATGCAAGTTTACCTTTAAATTAAAAATAAATTAAACAGGGCTGAAACATAAAGTATATCTTCCATTTCAACAAAAATTGTATTATATATTTCAGAAAAAGAACCTTAACAAATTCTGAAATTTAAAATAAAAAATTTGAGGACCTTAGTTTGGTAGTTCTAGTGTTAAATTGTACTAAGCTATGAGAGAAGAATAAACTATATTTTGTTATTAAAAAATTGAGCTGTCCTTTATACCCCACATTATACATTCACATCAAAAGATTTTCTCTTTTAAACATCTTTTCATGCTTACTTTATTAAAAAGAACGCAATCAGTAATTTTATAAAAAATAGCATACAGGCATATTGTAAATTACAATGCAAAAATGTGTGAAGATACTTTCCTTGAAATCTGTGTTCATTTTATAGTAATAACTGTGTATAATAATTTATTTGTACACTTTATTGTTCATTTCTTTGTTTTTCTAGTTTATTTTTGCTGTCAAATGTGCATTACAAATCAGTATATCTAATTTCATCTTGATTAACAATAGTATCACTTGAAGTAACATCAACATAGTAACATCAAGAAATAACATCAAGAAGTAACATCAAGAGTTCACAATACACAAAGACTAATAATAACACCAACATAAAAGTCGTTAATTAAGAAGCTTTAAACTAACTACAGAATACACTTCCTTTTGCGTACATATAATATATATATAATCCTAATCGACGCTAAAATTACCAACCGCTTGGCTCATTTATTAGCGAGAAAAGACGTCAAAAGACGCTAATAAATCACTGAAGACAGACCACGTTTAAAATTCCAGTACCCGCGTACGAAGTTGTTCCTGTGTTACATTCTGTACACAAAAGGAGTATACAAGAAAAGCCAGAGATACATCTGAAGGCTTTTGGGAAGGACATCAGTCTGTCATTGAAACCCACAGAAGGGCTGTTGGCAGCGAACCATTTGCCCATGTGGACTGTCACGAAGAATGCGTCGCAACCTGATGGCCTCCATTACGAGAAGGTGACGGATGTAAGTTTTCATACAGTGCTAATTAGACATACCTTTTCCTACTGCACCTACTTCTAACGCTTTTTCTTAATTTTTACTATGTATGGTCGCGTGAAAAACTATTTAGGACTTCTCTTTGTGGCATAGATGCTCATGTGACAAATAAAGAAATAAATAGAATTGAGATTTTTAATGGACTTATGCCATTTTTAATTCTGTCGATTATTGAGTTTTAAAGATATTCTAATTGGTACTTTGATTTTGCGTATCTTCAAAAATATTTAATATTATAATTACTTATTGGGGATACGTTAAAAAATATTTGGAACATCCCCTATGGTACAAAGAAGTTTTATTAGATCCATTTGTAATGGGTTTATTTATGAATAATTCTTTTGATTACTAAGTTTTAAAGATATTCTAGCAGGATTGGTTCTCTGATTTTTTGAATTTTAATAAATATTAAATTTTATAATTGCTTATCGAGAAAGCGTCAGAATATATTTGGTACTTCTCTCTATGATGCAGCAAATAAAGAAGTAAATTTATTAAAACTGAATAATTATGTTGATTATTAAGACTTAAAGCTACTCATAAATAGTATTGATACCCTATTTTTCAAATGTCAAAGAATAATATTCAACAAATCATCAATGTAGCGAAAACGATTTCCCGCCACCATTCAAAATGCCGCCATATTGCAATTCCGCCACCATTAAAAATGCCACCATATTACAATTTCCCGCCAACATTCAAAATCACCCCAATCTTACAAAAATTCAATACATTAATCTATTCATAAATCCCATCAGAATTATTCATAAACACCGCAGAGACACACCGCAAAATCCTCAAGCAATAAAACCAAATCATAAATCCTCAGAGCCAAAAACGTCGCGTTTAACGTTGAATTACTGTTTTTTTCTACAACGTACATGGCTAATTTTTTTCTTACACGTTCAGTTATGTCACATACAAATCTCCATAATTCAAGAAACATACAAATGTCATTCTTGTAAGTACTTTCGTTCCGTAGAACGTCTTGCTCGACACGGTGCATCGCAGCAAAGAACGAGCTGTTTTGCGATCTTTAATCAAGCTTATGGTACCATGTTCCTTTAAACGGCTGAAATCGTATAAAATCCGCTACATATGGCCATCACGGTGCTACCACGATGTAATTGTTCTTCCCGTTTCAGGCTGACGTAGGTATCGGTGACATCTATCAAGACACGACGAACATGGCGTCCATTTTGCTGCACCGGGACGCAAATGGAAAAGTGCTTGTTGTAAGAAATCATTCTTTCTTAATGTTCCTTTCAACATTCCTACCGTTTACTGCGACCCGACTTTCGTCAACCGTCGATTTACTTATAATTATCGTAACACTGAGCGACAATTAACTGGTCCTTGGTTTAAAGGCAACAGAAATAAGGATAAGCCGTTTGCATTGTGTTGATACGAATAATTATTTTGTAACTCGGAAATGTCTGGGTGGTTTCAAATATTTAAAAGACAAAATTATTCTTGAATTGAACAACATAACCTATATTGGATTGGAAAAACATAACCTATATTCTTAGAGTATTTATTATTTAGCTATGAGAAATTTAATGTTTTATACTGAAGCCTCTTAATGTGATGTTTTTGTCATAATATACTCTAATATTTCCAACAACAATATATTTACTTAAAATTAACCACAGAAATATTATATCAATATATTTATTTATTTTTGATCTTCCAATGGAACATTTACAAATTTTCTTTCTCTTTGTGAGTAGAGATTTTTAAGGACTTGTAAAATTATTTTGATATACAAATAGTATGTGGTATAATAAAATATTAGTGTATACAGTAAAATACTATATGTCAGTAAAACACTCTAGCTTGACCATAACTGTATCTCCCAAACATAAAACTATTGTTCACGTTTTTTACATGTTTAAACCCGTTACTCAATGATCGAACGTGTTGAACAGTAATTTATAAACTAAGTAACCTATGTATTTAAACAAGTATTTGTCGAAGCAAATGTAAACGTGTTGTACGTACCTTTTAGACACTTTAATGGGACACTCTGTCATCCATGATACAGGAAAATTTGTCGGATTATTCAATGCAAATGGATTAACGAAACTCTTCCTTGTGTCCATTGGACGTTACATAATTCGGTGAAACTATCGTCCTTAAAAGGATTTCTGTTCCGCAGGACTAACGATCGTTGACGAAACTCGAGGAGCATCTGGTAGCAAAAGATTGCATTGCATGCTGGGGATAATTTTACGGTTGAACAACGGTAGTCACTTTTCTTTGCCTGAAAGTGTTTCGTTTGAAGAAAGGGAATGATTCACTGTTTAGGTTTCCGTAGAATTGTTTTGAAAAATCGTGTTTTAATGGATACGTTGTATTCCGTGGTACAAACTGCTGTGTGTACATAAGTACACTGTGAGGCACACTGTAATTGCGATTATTGCAGTGTAACCACATAACACGTGACCATCGTGCGTTGATTGTTAACTGTGCAGCTTATGAAATATACACGTGGTTATTCGTTATGTGTATGAGGAAATTTGGGAGGGTAAATTTAGATATTTGGGAATTTAGATATTTTGAAATTTAAGGGATTGGACATTTTAATGCATATTTAGATATGCATGTTTAAAAATGTGGTCATTTAGGATTTAAGAAATTGGATTCTTGAAAGTTTGTATATTTAGAAATTTAACAATTAGTGATTTAAGAAATTGGATATTTGAATGTTTCCATAATTAGGAATTTAACAATTTGGGATTTAAGAAATTGGATATTTGAATGTTTGCATATTTAGAAATTTGGTAATTTGTGATTTAAGAAACTTAGAAACTAAAATATTAGACATTTTCTTATTTATAAATTTGTGAATTTGAAAATTTAGAAAATCAGGAAAGTAGTCCATTAAAAATTTGAAAATTAAAATTCTGGACTTCTACAGATTTAGGATTTGCAATATTAACTTGAAAAAAGTAGGATTTGCAATTTTAAAAATATTAAAATCCGAGAAGTCGAATTTTTGTGAATCTGAAAAAGAATTTAAAAATGTCGAATTTTTATAATTTAAAAATTTTAAAAACTTCAGATCTGAGAATTTATAAACACTGAAATCTGAGATACAAATTTCAGAAAACGCCATACTATTTAATTACAGTTCTGAATATTCCTAAATTCGTTTCAATAATACACAAATTAATACTATATCGCAAATCAAGAACTCATAACCTAACTTTAAATTGAATTCTGTACTCCATTTTATTTCAGCAATAACGTCAGCCATACTCCATTTTATTTTAACGATAACCTCATGCATACTCCATCTTATTTCAACGATAACCTCTAGTTTAACGTTTATTACAACTCTAAATTCTGTATATTAAAGAATTTGCCAAACTAACAACTTTGAGGTTAGGTTCCTAAAATACAAAGCTTGCAGAAGATGCAAAAATTCAATCTTCAGAAACGTCCATACTGAATGCACTTAAATATTACTGCATAAACAGCTTCTCACAGTATCAATATCAACGCGGAAGCTAAACCCAGTAGAATTTAAGAAAAGAATGTGGGTACGAAGGAAAGTTACTGAAATGATGTCTCCAATCGTTTTGACATTTCCATTCTGAGCCAGCAACCGATGTTTCCTTGGTTCGTGCAAAGTGCATGGCGAAGATATTGCGAGTGTATGGCAAGAAAAAAGAGCAATAAAACTCCCCATATCGGTTCCACCTTTCTGAACAGTTGTCGATTACGAGAAGAAGGCTGCTCTGTTCTCGATGATTGCACGTTCAACCAACCGAAACTTCAATTTCACTTGGATAACTTCAATCTCTTATAAAGACATATAGAAGTGCGGTAAGGCTGAACTATTACCGAAGGATAATATCCAGCTGTCGAGACGAAGAATTGCTTAAAATCCGTTGACAGAGGTATAAATTACAGGTGAAAGGACATTTGCATTTGTATATTAAGCTATCGATCGAGGAAAACGATAAACGTTTGTTGATTCGATGCTAAATTCAAAGCTTTAATTCTGTTTCGAACTCATATGCGGTTGCAACGATTAACATACCGTTGAACGACTGTATGTCGTTTTAACGCGTAAGTTGAATACATTGGAAAAATTATCACGCTTTACTGATTAGTCGGAGATATGCCATTCATTATAATTTACTACTGTGTTTTAATAATTTTTGATATTTTTTCCTTGAGAGATTGAGTTATAGAAGCGTGTCACTTCGGGGAGTTCATATTTTAGTTTCAACTTAAAGGTAGGGGATACTGTCTTCTAAAGGCTGTTTATTTTTCGTGAAAGTTAGGAATTATTGCACTTTCAATTTTTGGATTTCAGAATTTATGGATTCGAAAATTTCTATATTTCAAATTTATTTTAAATTTGGAAGTCTCGAATTTCTACATTTTTATTAAAATTCTCAAATTCTCAAATTCTCAAATTCTCAAATTCTCAAGTTCTCAAATTCTCAAATTCTCAAATTCTCAAATTCTCAAATTCTCAAGTTCTCAAGTTCTCAAATTCTCAAATTCTCAGATTCTCAGATTCTCAGATTCTAAAATTCTAAAATTCTAAAATTCTAAAATTCTAAAATTCTAAAGTTCTAAAATTCTCAGATTCTCAAATTCTAAAATTCTAAAATTCTAAAATTCTAAATTAGAAAAATTTTAAAAATTAAAAAATCTTTAACTTCAGAACTCATAAAATTCCTAATTCAAAAAAGTTAAAAAATCTTTAAATTCAAAACCTATAAAATTTCAAAATCTTTTACTTGTAAATATTTAAGTATATAAATAAATGTATAAATCGATGTAAATAATTAAATTACCTTATAACACCAAAGAAGCCGAATTTATAACGACATACAAAAATTCTGCAGGATAATTCAGTTATATGATTTCTCATTTTAAAGGAGAAAGTCAAAACCAGTTTTGTATAAGATAAGGCATACAAAGATCAATAAAGATTTTGATTATTTATAGCGACATTCAAAATTGTCCAAAAACATGTTGCTTGTGCAATAAATGACAAAAAAGACAAATACAAGTTGTAATTCAATTTAAATAATCAGTCAAATTTGTTTGCATCACTTTCTGCAATGATACATAAAAATTCTTTAAATATTTGTGTTTAATGGAATCAAATATTGTAATTATAGAATGCTATACTAAAAAATATATAGTGACACAATATTTTGTAACATTTCATATATTATATTATATACACATTTATATTTCATATATTACAAACAAATTTAGAAATTTGTTTTCAAATTTTTTACAAACTAAAATTTGTTTACAAATCAAATTTACAAATTTAGTTGTTCTAAAATATTTTCACATATTCTTAATTTTTATAATTAGTATTAACAGTCTATACTCGTTATATCGCCACTTTTAAGAGACCTTTCAGACACTCTAAACTGCCATAATATTAAAGGAAACAATTCTTTCATCAATTTGTGGCTTTCTATTGCCAATTCTAAGAAGTTTTCGTTCTTTATTTTTTTGTTCTTCATGGCTTGTTGTATCGTGGCAATATAACAAGAGTTTACAATACTCACAATGTCAATAATAATAGGAGGTACACTTTTGCAAGCATAAATAAAAATCTGAGCATACTTTTTAACTCAATAATTGTTCAAACTATAATATCAGCAGTATTTATTTCAAAAATTCTCTAAACCTTAATATTATTCGAATAGTATCAAACCCAACACTACACAAAACTCTTGTTATATTGCCACGAATGAAGTTGTCGCAGTGGAATTCCTCGCCTCCTTTTTATTTAAATATACTGAACCTGTAATACCAGTCACCAGTCACCACACAATCAACACGTTAAACACAGTATTAACACTTTTCTGAAATAAGTGATAGGGAATCGAATTTTTTGAGATGTTGAATTCCAATGACAACACAAGTTGGTTACATAATGGTGTAAAAGCGTTGTTCTATGTGACCCCGTATGCCCTGACCTTTCGCTTTCACTCTCCCCCCATCGGTCTGACCAATGCACCTCTCTCGAACCGCAGATCGAACTGATCGTACTCGAATCTGAAATATCGGTGATCAGCCGATTTAACTGACTTAAATTATACCCGTTTTCCATCCTAGGACCTGCAACTTGGACAAAATTAGTCACGTCTCGGTAATTATTCTGCTTAAGGTACGTAGCCATCAATGGGACATTAAGAAACCTTTAGTTGTCGATAGTTGGTAGAATCAACCGAATTACCAACATTAATAGCAACAATTTGTCATCGTTCATTTTGAACAAAGCCTTGTATCAATTATTGGACATTTTGTTTTCTTGTTTTACTGTGTCTAATGGATTAATTAAATTGTCAGTACCTGATATGAACAACGTCGTGAATTAGTGCATACTGGTTTTACTAGATTTACTAGATTAGTGTAGATTAGATAATTTTTTAATGTTTCTACATTTGTTTCGTTAGCGTAACAAGACTTAAGTATAGCATTTTTCTTTTCCTTCTGCTTTTCGTAAAAAAACATTAACTAGTTGTTATTAATTTAAAAACATTTAATAATTCAAAATTGTGAGGATCGTACTAAAATTCTAAAAATTATACACTGTACATATTTAAACATTTTTTAATGTTTTTAAAATGCTTTTTGAATTTTTTAATTTTTTAAAAAGTTTTTTGTAAAAATGTATGCAGTTTTACATTTTTACATACAGTTTTAAAAACCGTGATAAGTTTGCATAAAAATAAAGTAAACTGTAAAACAATTCACAATATAGAAGCGAATACTATTAAACAATCATAATAAAATTATCCCCAGCTTGATAAATTGAATGTTAACGCTAGATATACGGAGCCGGTCAAAATGGCGGATCTCTTATTCTCAGTTCTAAAAATTGTTTGAATCTTTCGTTAAAATATAGGTTAATCTTGTATGGTATAGTTCTCTTTCAAATTAAATATCCGTATATCTAGTATTAAAGTGAAAACATCCTTAAAATAAATACTTGCAATAAATATTTGCAACAATCTTTTACAAATTAATAAAAAAAACTTGTTTCACGCAGGATGGTAACATTGGTTCAGAACTGGTGATTCGACCACTGCCAGACCGTGTATTACACGAAATAGTAAATAAAAATTCGACATTGCACGACGTCGAATTACTGCCAAATGTAACGAGGAGAAAAGAGGATCTAAAGAGGACGAGTCACCATATCGTTTTCAAGAAAGTGACGCGTTCGAACGGCGACGAGTACAGCGATTTTAGTAAGTTTCTTATTTATTTTTACGACGAAGATTACATCTCGTAGAAATTGATTTTTCTTAATTAAATGTCAATTTCAGCGCTGATGGAACCAGACCACTTGGCCAAAAGATACAGATCGAAACGATCGATCGGCGTTAGGGGGAAGAGAGAAGCACCATACGTGATCTATCCGGAAATCCTGTGTATCGTGGATTATGATGGATACAGGTGAGATAAATAATTTTTTTTATTAATAATACATTAACCTTTCGTGAGCGAATTTATGATCTTAATATTCTACATTTATATTCTACTTAATATTCCACTGTTTTGTAATATACAGGGTGTTCTGTTCGAAACGATGTTTTCAGAAATATCTCTTTTTATCGGATATTTTCAAAATTATAATTGTATGTTACTTTGTGATTCACATTTTATTTATTTATTTTTATAGAAGTATTCACTTTGATACAGTATGAAACTTCGAGATTCACTTTCTATTTATTCGTTTTTTTAGAAATGTAAGTTAATTCTTGAAATATATGAACCTTTTCGATTCATTTTTTGTTTATTAATTTTTCTAGAAATATGTCTTAACTCTTGCAATATATGAAACTTTGCAAAATTCATTTTTTATTTATTAATTTTGCTAGAAGTTTACACTAATTTTTGCAAAGTATGCAGCTCTGAAATTCATTTTTTAATTATTCATTTTTCTAGAAATATATATTAACTCTTGCAATATATGAAACTTTGCAAAATTCATTTTTTATTTATTAATTTTGCTAGAAGTCTGCACTAATTTTTGTAAAGTATGCAGCTCTGAAATTCATTTTTTAATTATTCATTTTTCTAGAAATATATATTAAATCTTACAATATATGAAACTTTGCAAAATTCATCTTTTATTTATTAATTTTGCTAGAAGTTTACACTAATTTTTGCAAAGTATGCAGCTCTGAAATTCATTTTTTAATTATTCATTTTTCTAGACATATATATTAACTCTTGCAATATATGAAACTTTGCAAAATTCATTTTTTATTTATTAATTTTTCTAGAAGTCTGCACTAATTTTAACAAAGTATACAGCCTTGTGATTCATTCTTTTTTTATTCATTTTCATAAAAATGTTTATTAACTTTCGCAAAATTAATTCATTTTTGTATTTTAATTTTTAATTCAATTTTTTAAATTTGAATCTATACATTCGTTGTAATCTATGCATCTTTTAACTTCATCTGCAGTTTGAATATAAATGTACGTCAAACATCAGATCTATAGTTGGTACAAGTCGAAAGTGAATTAGAAAATTGTTTCTTTAAATATTGGTCAATTATATTTATGACAGAAGTCATTTTCTTTCGACAACGATGTTCCACTTGAGCGATGTTAGGTAACAGATTGCGTCTCTGTTTCAAATACTATTTATTACTTCCATTAATGCGCACCGTGATTTATGAGAAACACGTAATTACAAACGTTTCACGCATCTTCGATACGTCTCGTTTAATCTTACAATTACAGTCGTTTAGTCCATATTCACTATCGGCAAAAAACACTGTGCGCTGAATGTCTGCAAATTAATGTACATTGTATATGAAATTACATTAATTCACTATACGTAACAATAATGATAGAAAAAAAATTGTGGAACAGATTGAATAACTATCGTAAATGTCGCTTTCACTTCTACCTAATATGAAAGGTCAGAATATTCACAAATGCCACGGTGTAAATAAAACCATGCCTTGTATGGGTTATTAAAAGTAGAATTTTAATTAAGTCGATTCGATTGCTGATTGAATTAATGTTTAAAAAGTCTCTTTTCCTTTTATTTAGTCTTTAAGTGGAAATAATGGATTTCCTGTTTTGTTTAAATAGTTACATTTCAGATTTGATTATTCTGTTATGTAATTCTGTTATGATTATTCTATTAATATGTTTACAGTAGTATTTATTGATTATACTTACAATTAAGAATTAGACTAATTTGATCGAAAATTTATTTATCATACAAAAAGTGGATAGAAAGTTTATATTTTTAAGTAAAGTGAAGTGGGGTAAGTGCAGACTGATTTTTGTAAAGTTGGTATTTAAACATAAATATTTTCAGTCTGCTATGTAAATACTTAACGCTGTCGATATCGAACGCTTTGCACAATTACTACTATTTAATTAATATTAACTAGGACCTTAATTTTCCTTGTACATTTTGATTTTGATAGGAAATTGTTTAAAATGTCAACTACTCTGCACTTTCCCCGAAAATGGGGTAAGAGCGTAACTTGAAGTTAAATACTTTGAAACTTTATTTCATGTGCAATGGGGCAAGAGCAGAATTATTAA